CCCCCCCCCCAGGAAAAATTTCTAGATCCGCCCATGGAAGAAATAAATTAGTTAGATTTAAATACAACACTTTTAATTATGGAATCCCTAGTATCCAACATCATTATGAAGTTTGATTTTTCAGATTTAATTTCTATAAATGGTCGAATTTATTAAAATAGTTCTTGACTCAGCTAACTGATTCTAAGAAGCAGCTGATAGAGTGGTCGTTTGAAGCACATATACATCCATCATTAAAAGTTTGAGAAATTGATTCTTGGATGTCATCAAGGATCCGATTCATAGGTTAGCGAGAGTTAAATAACGAGAAATTGCCAGCTCAATCATATCTGGTATGAGACATACGATCTTTAATGGTTGTGTGATGCATATTTTAAATTCAACAGAAAGGGAAAGCCGAAACCGGAAATGTATTTAAGGTTAGTAATAAGTTTCTACATTCAAAATATATATTTGTTCCATATTTTTATGATCCCATTAAAACTCGTTTCAAAAATAAATTAGACTCAAATACTGTGCCTTTCGTTATCGAAATACTCGTATCCAACACAATCATGAAATGTAGTTAAATTTTTTAATATTAGAAACACATTGTCTTTTATGTAGTATAAAGAAACTGGCAGACTTCTTTATTTTTGTTTTGTTTTTCTCATATTTTCGAAGAAATAATTTATTTTTAAAAATAAATTTTAATAGAGATTTAGATTTAATTTATTATAATTGTAATTTATGTTATTAGATTCAATTTTGAATTTCTCTAGCAAATATTTTAAAAAAAACTGTTTGTGCAATCGATTTTTGTTAGTGCGTTCAGTTATTTATTTTTTAAATTTTTCCTCCTAATAGTAAGTATTCTATTTTCTTTCTTTTTTTAAAATTTGTTTTTCTTCAAAGAATATTAAAAATTTAAATGATGAATAAATATTTTTTTCTGTATAACTTCATTAATATCCATATAGTTAATTACAAAATTTTTGTTTGTATGTTCTTGTATAAATCAAAAACATTTTTTCCTTTATGCATATAACACGCTTAATTAATTCTTGATATCTCTGTATCATCTACCAGGTCATGATTAAAACCGCTGTATTTTCAATAATTATTTACTTTCGATTGCAGTTATAATGACTAAACAATATAAAATGTCAAAAATTATTTTCTGGCTGCACAGCGTAACGACGACGCCTTTCAGGTCCTGTTTAATGACAGTATCTTTGTATCTTTACGCGGCACACTTCAGGTTCATGGTGAATAACTTTGTATCTTGTATTAGACTTTTTGTATTCGATCTAAATCATAGTGACGAAATGAACAAAATACATAACATCAAAAAAGTATCTTTACACGGAATAACACAACGGTGACACCTTTCAGGTCCTGGTTAATAACTTTGCATCTTGCATTAAACTTTTTATCGCCGATTGTAATCACAAAGGCTAAATGGAAAGCAATCATATCAAAAATTATTTCTGTGTGGCAATACATAAGGAGTCCACTAACCTAATTATGCCTAATAAATATGTATTTAACTTCATGAAGCTTTTGCATCATTCAATCGTAGTGATATTTATGAAATGAAAATCATATTAAATCATAAATTATTTTACTTCGCTCGGTAAAAGGACGGCATCCGTCAGGTTAAAAAAAAATCAAAGTGCTCTTTATCAATCATTTTGCATTCAACCGTTGCCAAAACTATTCAATATTAAGTGTATTACATTAATAAATATTTCTAATTGACTTAATGTTTATACCATTTTATATCAGACCCCATGAACATCAATATCTTCAAAGAAATTCTTTCGTGCAACCTGCATTCTTCTACAGAAATAGCCATAAGTAGTCCACCAATAAACATCATGAATGACTCCTTTACAAGAGACAAGAAAAATCTACTTTAAATTTATAAATCTTATAACAAAAGTAATTCGTGAAAGAATTAAGACTATGTACACATAAACTGAATTACAGGAGCATCTATTGTATAAATATTTAAGTTCTGAATTGAGAACAAGAAAAACGAAGTGAAAATTAAGTGAAACTCAGTGGCACGACAGCCCAAGGAGGAGCAAGGCCTACTGCACCCCTTTCAGCTTTCTTGTCTTTGGGCTCTGGGTTGCAGGAGCATATGTTCTGATTAGGCAGTCAGCCGAACGTTTGGTTCCCAAGTTTAGTCCTCAAGCACCTTGGTACTCATTTTATCGACCCACTGACTGGATGAAATGCTGAGCCAACCGTGCCTGGTTCGAGTATATAAACCAGGACCTGTGGCACGGGAGTGTAAAGCGCTATCCCTCAGCTACTAGATTTCAAAACCAAAGTAAAAATCATACTTACAGAACGAAATAAAAAAAAACATTTTACTTTATATTTGAAAAGTTAAAAAAAAAGGCAAATATCAAGTGCTCAAACATGGTGTTCATCGTTAGGACATGATGAAGACAAATTAGGCCAGGAACAAGAAGAAAGACAGTTGCAAAAAAATTTAAATCAAAATTAATAGGGTAGAAATGAAAGAAACCACAGAAAAGTAAATCATGGAAGAATACATTTCCATGAGTATTCGTGGTTAAATGAATAAGACATCTGACTCATAGCTGGAAATATGCAGATTTTATTGCAAAAGGTGTTATTTTTGTCTCCCATATCGTAATAGATCACGGTGTTCAGTAGATCACCGAAGCCAAAGATCATAGGCAGCTGTCACTGAGGGGGTAGGTGACCTTTTTAATCAACCAGCAAACAGACCGAGAATATGCAGTATTGGTCCACTTAAAACTGTTCAATCGTAAAATGCTGGTCGTCGGGCCACGAAAGTGGGGGAGCCATCCCTTCTGCAGAGGATCAAATTTGCAATGGCATGAATTCACATTATCTTCAAGCATGTTTCCCATACCATCGCTAAGAGCCCATTTTGCAGCTCTAGTGCGATGCAATTAAAGTGCTACAACTATTTCCTTAGTCAAGTCAATTTAGATTGGGCAGAACTGATTTACTTCTATCAGTGACTACCGCTCTCTCGACCACATCAATTCCTTTCTTTCTCCTATTAATTTCATTTTCATTTTTTTTCAGTTGCAACTGTCTCTTTTTCATATTAATAACTACCTTTTTTTATTTTCCACATTCACGTGTGGTGTCGTTCTAATGATGAGCATCCAGTACGAGTGCATGAAACCTGTCTCGAAATTGTACGGCTTTCACCTTCATCACCCCCTATTAAACCACTAATAGTGAGTACTAGTACGTGAAGATCCAATCACTAGGATCAAAAGTTATTTAGAGTTTTTTTTGTGCACTGCATACATATCAAGAGCTAGAAGGTCAAGCGAATAATCCAAACACTTTATTATCTGAAAAACGTTTAGACAAGAACATGACTGTAATTATATAAAATGGGTGTAAATTTTTACTTACATAAGTATTTGTTTAAGAGGATAAACTTCAGTCATTCATGTAAAGGATGCAAAAATCTTAGTCATTTTTATAATTTTTTTTATATATGCAACAGCTATTCGAGCATATCATATTACAAAATCAAAAATAGATAAAACTTATCCGAAAAACAAAAGATGATTTAAAAATAGAAAAGTTTTAACATTAATCTGGAAACATTTTTCGTTATTACTCTAAATGACATCAGCAACAAAAAATAAATAAATAAATAAAACATTCACTTGTATAAAAGCACTGTAGTTCACATTATTTGTCCTTTTCATATTTGCGTTTATCACAACATGTGCTTTAAATTATTCTTTAATTTGCCAATACTTGACTGATTTCACAACCCTTCCTCATAAATTATGATGGCTTCCATTACAGGATTTTGAAATTTATATTCTAATTATTAACTGAAATGTTAATGTTAATCTCTTGATCAATAGTAGAAATTAATAATTAATAAAATTTGATTCTAATTTCAGTCCTCGCACCTAAGTTGCATTGATTCATACAGCCAATTGTAAGTTATACTTAAGATATATTTTTGTTCTTAAATATTTATTTGATTTGTTTTGTTTAAAATTTTTCTTGTAGCGTGAAATTACATTTGTGGCATTATAAAAAATTGTTGTATCGTTAAAATACTTCAACATTTCATCACGTTACCTTCAAATAATTCAAACAGATATCAGCTGAGCCAACAACATCTAGAATTGGAAACAATACAACAGGTAGGAGGGCTGTTGCGGATATTGGTACTGGTTCTAAAAGCCAATAAGTGGCTACCAACAGGATGACGTAGGAACATCTTGCTTCCTGAAATTTAAATAAAGTTATTATTGTTATTTTCGTAAAACTATCATAGAATGTGTTTTCAAAATCTAACAATCACTATTTGGGAAGGCGAGATTGAAAAAAACTAAAACCTGTTCAATTGACGGAGAAAATTGAAAGATGGTAAACAGTGATTGTTTGAAATACCTTTAAGTTTTATCTGGGAGTCAAACGGGTTTTTAATGATTTAAAAACCACATTCTTAGTCAGATATCAATCAGATATTGATAACAATACTGTTTTTACCGGAGCTTAAATGTAACCTTGTGCATTCTTTTTTAATTCATTTTTGGCAAAGATTCTAAAAACATGTATTCAAGATTTACGGAATACCTGGTAACTCAAAAAATACAGTTTTAAACACTGAGTTGAAATCGATTCATTTTTTAATTAAATACCTGTTAACAACACTTTTTTGGATGGACATGGTGGGAAAAGTGATAATATAAATCAATCTATACCCAAATCATCAAATAATTTTTTCAATAATAAACTATGAACTCAAATTTATTAACACTAAACCAACATTTTTCAACACCTAAAACAAACAACACAAACCATTTCGAAAGTTTGACTTTTTTAAATGGAAAAATAATCATTGCATAATGTTGTCTTTGTAGAAACTTTACCAATAAAAAAATTAAAAAATTGGAGATCTTGCAAGTCAGTTGAATATAAAACTTAGGATAAAAATATAAATACAAAGTAATTAATTATTTTAAAATGCCCTGGGTCTAACAGAAAAAAACGGAATCATTTTTTAAACTCATTTTATTTTATTTATTTTTAAATAATCTGTTTAAGCAATGTGCATTTTGGTATTTTAATTGACACATATTTTGAGCTTTGACCAATGCCTAGCTTTTCAATTTAGGAACATTTTGTAACTATGTCAATTTCTTAAACTCACATTTCGCCCTTTTTTCAAAAATAAATTTTCTCCGACAAGAACAGAATAATTCTTAAAAAAAAGTAAAAATCGATTATACAAGTAAAAGGTTTATGAAATTATTTCTTAAACTGTACGAGATATGCTGTATTTAAACCACTTATTTGGTAATTTTTCAGTTCATATGGCGACGGTTTGAAAAAAATTTTCGTTTTCAAAATTACAGTTCGTAATACTACACATTTAGTAGAAATTACAATACTGAAAAGTAAATTTAGCTGATTGAATGGTTTCATTAAACATTTAATGGTTTCATGGTAAAATTCACAAATTTTACAACATTTATCAAATTTTATAACTTATTATAAAATTATATTTTATTATTACTCTCACTAAAATTGTTACCAAAGTGCTTCGTTAAAAATTACTTAGCATTTTTGCGTTTTCCCACAGAGCGAGAAACACGGTAAAATTTATTATATTCTGGTAGTTTTGACCATGTTTTTGTAATTATTATAATTAATTGTAATAATTGTTATTTGTATAATTATTAATTTCAGAATAATACTAACCTTCTGAGAAGAAGTAGCCAATGGAGATAAAATTACAGGTAAACAAAGGCAAATAATGTAAATAAACAATTTTAAATTAAAATGCCTACGTAATGATATCCAGCTGGGCATTTTAAACTATAAAAACATTACAAATTAATGTTTATGGTGCTTAAAACATCTTTAGACCATGTAGTAAGTACATTTACAAAACACTAATTAGTTGATTGAAACAGAAATAAATAAATATTTTTAAGCAATCCATCTTCCTGTTTATTTTAAATCAGATAACTCTTTATTTTGAATCAGATAACCAAGATTTTTAAATCAGAGTGATGAAAATGAACGGGACGCAGTACGGATAAAAAGGATGTTTAACTACAAAACTTTTGTTTTGTAACTTAAAATGTTTCAATTACAAGTATTAAGAAATAACAGAGAAATCGGAAATAATAGAGAAAATTAGGCAATAATAGAGAATAATAATCTATAGAGAAATTGGCTCAATATGGAACTATAATAAAGAGGAAATTCGCGATAACTTTAATACCTAAATTGAAACTTATCTCCGTTCAACGTCCTAGTATTAGAGATATGAAAAGATTAAGTTGCATGTAAATGTTTTTGTAAATATACAATTTTTTTGTAATTTTGTAAAATGTTTTAGTAAAATATAAAACATTTTTGTAATTTTGAAACATGTTTTTGTAAAATATAAAATTTTTTTGTAATTTTGTAAAATGTTTTTGTAAAATATACAATTTTTCTGTAATTTTGTAAAATGTTTTTGTAAAATATAAAATTTTTTTCCGAAAAATTCATTTTTGCCGTGAGATTTTATACCGTATATATTACAGTAGTATCTGCTGAATTACAGTGATTCAGGAAATATTGCTGTAAAATTTACGGTTTATAAGTTTTTTTATTCAATAAAATTTTGCAGTAAGTACTGACACTCTGAGTGCCGGTACTTTTTGTCGTAATTTTTCAGGAGCCTGTTACAAGATATTTTTCTTTTTAGCCTAAAAATTTTCCAGAAAAAACTCCAGTAGAAAAAACACAAAGGATTATCTTTAAAAAATAATTTACCTGAAAATAAAAATTAAATGATGCAAAAACAATCATAAAAATCGGCTCAACATGAAACCCTAATACAGTTGACCGTGAACAGTAACTTTACAGTGGCATAATACAGTGTACCGCAAGCAGAAGGAATTAAATGATGCAAAAACAATCATAAAAATCGGCTCAACATGAAACCATAATGCATTTGACCGTAAACAGTAACCTTACAGTGGCATAATTACAATGGACCGTAAGCAGAAGGAATTAAATGATGCAAAAACAATCATAAAAATCGGCTCAACATGGAACCATAATTCAGTGGATTGTAAGCAGAAGGAATTAAATGCTGTAAAGACAATCATAAAAATCTGTTAAGCATAGAATCATAATACAATGGACACTAAGTAGAAACTATACATTAACCACAAATCTATTAAAACTGGGCTATAACATCAATTAATCACGATTAAGAAGCATTGATTTGCACGATGTAATGGTTGAATTTGGCACCATAACAGTTTGCAACGATATTATGGTTGAACGTGCTCCGAAATTTCCAACAGTGCATGTCATTAAAAAAAATAATAAGTAAAATTGAATAGCTTATTATATATTCTTGAAAGGGCTTCTGCCGCGGGGAAACCCTGACGTCGCATCGTGGTTAATGGTTAAAAAGCCAAATTAAAAAAAAGAAAGAAAGTTGACAATTGCAAAAGAAAAAAATGAAGAAGGAATTTAAGCTTCTAGATAGAAAAAGAAAACAATTACTTGTTGCATAATTATGGTTCTGTAACTGGCTGAGAATAAGTAACCGCCTTTTAGACATCAGTCTTAATTAGTCTCACGCTATTAATAACTTCTTGGTCTTTAGCCAGCTGCTTGTCTTTTTCACACAAAACGTATGACTCTTAAGGCAGGCAGTATGGAAATTCCTTGAGCGGAAGTCTCTCAGCAATCTATTAACACCTCGCGAAGTTCTCCGTGTGCTCTTATTTACAATTGACGCAGGTCAGTAGATTGTCAATTTCTTTCTTCTTTTTTTACTCACATATCAAATAATTGCTCACATTTTTCTTGAAGTTGAAAGAAGAATTATTGTAAATATATGACTGTCAAGCGCATTTATACAGACAACAACAGATTGATTTGATGCCAAAATTCAAAAGGTTACTAATGTTATAAATGCCATTACATTTTCCAATAGTTGATAAGGGTTTAAATTCTTAAGTGGTAAAATGTGTCGAAAAAATTTTAAAAACTCATTAAAAAATTTTTTTTCATAGCTTCTGAATATTTCTCCAAAGTCTCAGTTAACACTAGGTTGCTTAAAGGAAGTCATTTTGACTGCTTTTTTCATTTGCAAAAAATTGACAAATAATAATGCATAAATTAATATTGTATTTTCAAGTGAAGTAAATTTTTTCTTTGTTAATATTTACTAATAACTTGTTATATAACTGCAAATGATATAAAAAAATATTGAAAATTAATTTAAAAATTTTTTTACACATTAGTTATTCTTTCGCAATGCAGTCATTTTGACTGCTTTTGGGCAATACAGATATACACAAAGTTTCAGTCTTTGTAGTGTTAATTGAAGTAAAACTTTTTAGAAAGCCTTTAAGAACTTATTTCATTAGAAGGTTACAACAGTCGGATACGAAATATAAGGTTGCTTTAAAGATCAGAAAAAGCGATTTCTCATAAACTAATGAACCGATCTGAGTGAAATATTGATCTCTCTTATTCATTCTTGTTCCCAGTAGCCATATTTCAGGATACCATTAGTTGTAAAGAAGATTATTAAGGAAAAAGATCGAACTGAACCCTCGCTTATATTCATAAAAGTAATAGGGCAAAAAAGATGAATTCCATGCAATAGCATTAAGTGCAATTATGCTTTTAAAGTTATTGCATAAAAAGTAAGTCAGTGTCTTAACGTTAAGAAGATGTAATTTCCATTGTCAATAGAATCAAAAATTGTTTTGTGGAATTCTTTAAATTTTTTAATGATATTACGCTGGAATCTATTAAGAGTGATTGGATCTTATCATTATAAAGCCTAATTTTTTTAAAATGCTCTTAATGTTTATAACTGATTAAAGTGCTTGGGTTGAAAGTATATTCAAAATGTCTAATGTTAAGGAATTAAACTTAAGCGTAATGACCACTTTTAATACACCTATTTTCAGATTTCTTGTTAAAAAGACGATCTCTCTAAGTTAAAAGAAATTCAAAATGCCTTCAGTTAGGGAATTAGACTGTGTACAGCGTGTCCCGTAATGACCACTTTTAAAATACATATTTTCAGAATTTTTGTCAAAAAAGAAGTTACTTTTAAGTTAATATTCAAAATGTTTCCCGTTAGCGAATTAGACTTTTTACAGAATGTTTCGTAATGACCGCTTTTAATATACATATTTTCAGAATTTTTGTCAAAAAATGTTCTCTCAAGTTAAAAGAAATTCAAAATGTCCTCAATTAGAGAATTAGACTGCATACAGATTGTTTCGTAATGACCGCTTTTAATATACATATTTTCAGAATTTTTGTCAAAAAATGTCCTTTCAAGTTAAATGAAATTCAAAATGTCCTCAATTAGGGAATTCGACTTTATACAGATTGTTTCATAAGGACCTCTTTTAATAAGCATTTTTTCAGAATTTTTGTCAAAAAATGTCCTTTCAAGTCAAATGAAATTAAAAATGTCCTCAATTAGGGAATTAGACTGTATACAGATTGTTTCGTAAGGACCGCTTTTAATATACATATTTTCAGAATTTTTGTCAAAAAATGTCCTCTCAAGTTAAATGAAATTCAAAATGCCCTCAAATAGGGAATTAGATTGTACACAGATTGTTTCGTAAGGGCCGCTTTTAATGTACATTCTTTTAGAATTCTGGTCTAAAAAGAAGCTCGTTTCTAGTTGAAATGGAATTTAAAATATCTTAAGTTAGGAAGTTAAACTGTATATAGAGTGTTCCGTAATGACCACTTTTAATATACACATTTTCAGAATGTCTTAAGTTAGGGAATTATACTTCATTCAGAATGTTCGGTAATGACCTCTTAAATATACACATTCTTAGAATTTTGAGGAAAATGGATCTTCCCAAGTTTAATGAAATTCAAAACATCCTAAGTTAGGGAATTAGAGAGTATACAGAGTTTTCTGCAATGACCACTTTTAATATACACATTTTTAAAAACTTTGTCAAAAATGAAATTCCTTCCAAGCTTTTAATGTTAGGAAATTTGACTTTATTCAAAATGTTCCGCAATAACCATTCTTACTATACATCTTTCGCGAATCCTTGTCAAAAATGAAGCCAAAAAAACTTCTACGTTAGGAGTTTCACATTATCATTAAAGGGAGAAAAAGCACAATCGAAATCTATATAGTTTCTGCTTAGGAAAATTAAGTTGTAAAAATAACGATTGTTTGATTTCCGGGGAAACAGATTTGAAAGACGATAATTAAAACCTACTCCGACTTTCACCAAGCATTTAAACAAGCTTTGATGCTTACAATTCAATCTTCTTCAGTAGTAATTCATGAGAATTTAATATATTTTGAGTTTTTTCTTCCCTCAAATATTAATTTTCGACTCATTAATGTCTATACTTTGCTTACTTCAATTTTAATAAGGATTCTGAATAAATTATATGAAGCATTATACGCAATATGCAAAGCACTAAAAAAATAAAAAGAATGCAATAAAATAACAATTTTAGTAAACGAAAACGATTTTAAAAGTGGTCTATATCAGTTAGAAACGCTGAGTAACATAAACGTAAAATATTTCAAAATACGAGTATATAAAGAGATACACGTGTATATTTTAAAATAACTATTACATTCGTATTTAAGAATTTCAACATTTAAATGGTCACCTGTTGTAAACATTAAAAGCCAGACTAAAAGCCATTTACTTACACGACTTTCCTTTTATTGATTGATGTTGTAAGATTCCAACACTCAAAGAATCTTGATTAAATTACATTTATTGGCATGCTTCATCAAATTTATTCTTCTGAGTGATTTCTGAGGTATTGTATAAGTAATTATAAATAATTATTAGGAAAATTGTGTAAGTAATTATAAGGAAAATTGTGCAAATAATTATAAGGAAAATTGAATAAGTAAGTAGTAAATATATTTAACCTTTATACAATAAAAAATAATAATTGTTATAATTTTTAAAAATTTCAAATAATGAATTAACCTTAATTGTAATATTAAATATATTTTTTCATATTAGATTAATCTTAATTGCAAGATTTTAAATTTAACATTATTTTTTTATAGAAATTTTTGTAAAAGTGGTAAATTAAGACAAAATGTTTTAAATTGTTCAAAAATAAAAGCAATGGGCGATATATATTCGAGTCTAATGATAAAAATCTGCTTAAAATGGTAATAAACGAATAGAAATTTTGGCATTGAAATTAAAATTTTACTAATTTTTTATGGGAACAAAAATTAAGTTTTCAATCAAAACAGAAAAATTTCAGTAGTTCAATTGAAAATTTTCAATCGCTTTTTTTATTTTTTAAAACACACTTATTTAAAATAGAATATTAAGTAAAAATTACATTATAATTGAATAGATTGCTAGCTGATAATAGATATCAATGATACTCTCACTTTATCGCTTGAAAAAATTTAAAAAACATAAATCAAGCGCGACATAAACACTTAAAAGATTAAAAGAAATTGAAGAAAAGTTGTAAAATAAAATTTTTTACTCATCATTTAATAAAAATAAATTTAATAAAAATGCAAAATATCTATATAATTCAGAACTTCCTCATTTAAAATCAATTCAACTATTAAACATATTTTCTTGTAGTGTTTTTTTCTTTCTGTACTGATATTTTCCTTTTCATTTCCCTCACTTAACTTTTATCAGCGATAAATATTTCATTAATGTCCACTAACACTCTTAAATTTCTGATAAAAAAAAATAATGAACCTCTTGTGTAGTTTATTAATCGTCTTTATAAAGAAATGTATCCCTTTGAAGAGATCAGTTGCAATCATTTTCTTGTAATCATTTTACCTTCAATAAATGTTTCATTTATCATAACATCTTGTAATTTGTGATAATAATAATAAAAAAACTCTTAAATAAGTGATTTATCCTCTTAACAACGAATCATTCATCCTTATAGAAATTCTCATTAATTGTTTTTAATCATTTGCTTTATAATTTATAGTTCCGAGATAAATTCTTCACTTATATTAAAAAACATTTTGTAATTTCTGATAATAATTGATAAAAATAACTTATGAACTTTATAAAGAATCATTTATCCTTTCGAAACACTCAACTTTTTCAGACGGAACGTAGGAAAAAGCTGATTTAAAACATTTGAAAAACACTCTACATGTTGAAAAAATAGCAACAAAAAAAAATAATATCAGGCGTTACTTATTTTATTATTTCCGAATCCAATTTTTACTTCATACTTGTCAGCTTTGATAAAAAAATAAATAAAAAATTAAATAAAGCTACATATTGATCCTTGTTTTGATAATTCTCAAGGGCAGTCCTTTTCTACAGAAATTCTTGGACGGATAGCCTTTCTTTTTCAATCGCATCTTAATGCACTCAGATAAACATAAAACAAAAACAACTAAAACCAAATTTTTTTGTTAGAAATTTTTTGAATAATTTATGTATATAAATGAATTGTTTATTATCAATATCAAATATTTAACATTCGATTTTTTCACCGAAGGATTATTGGTATTAAGAAAAATATTGGAATTTATTTGAGTTGTTATGGAAGCTGTGCAGAAAAAGGATGCTACCCATAGAAATGATTCTAAATGTTTCAAAGAATGTTTTGGTAAGTATTTTTTCACTAATGATGATTAATTTTCATCAATAATTATGATCAAATCAATTCTCAATAATAAATGTATCTTTAAAGATAGTGCGAGTTAATTTAAAGTCGATAGATTAGGTGATAAAAAAAATCGCAAACTCACTCCTTATGTCGTAATCTTTAAAAAATATTTTATATATTAATAGAAAAATCATGAAATTCACTTCAAAATAACTGAAAAGCTAGATTATTTCTTTCTCTGTCTTCGTCGGGAAAAAGTTTAAACATTACTAAATTTTTGGAATGTAAAATAATTAAAAAATGAAATTTTAATGATTCATCACGAAATACATTCTTATGGAATCGATTCCAAATCAAATGTAAAAAGGAATTAATTCGCAAATGATTTTTCTCTTTGATTGCTTATGATCATTAGCACTTATTAAGATTTATTATGTAATCAGTATTCAATTTCAGAAATGTTTTTAAAGCTCATACTTCTTAAAAATGCTAGATCAAATTATGATATAACTTTGAGTGCATCATCCGTAAATTCCATTTTACTGCAAAATCCATATTTTCCGTAAAATATTTTACTCTACTTTTTATAGTAATATTCATTTAATTCGAGTGACTCAGTTATTTTAAAGTAATTATTACTGTAAAAAGTACGGTATATCAGATATTTACAGTATGGATTTTTACCGTATGGTACCGTACAGTATAGTACAATTCCTCGATTATATTTTGTAAGTTGATATTACTTAAAGTGACATCAACTAAAAAAATCTTGCTGATATAAAAAATTTTTTCGAAAGAATTAAAATGTTTTTAAAAGTTTAAGGCGCATTTCAAAATCTGAAACACTATCGAATAATAAGATTTACATTATTCATTACAAGTAGAATCGATTTTGGAATAAATATAAATTTAACTAGCAATTTTCTTTTAATATTTATGAGTATTGATAATTGTCTCGTATTCATTATTATGATTGTAATCAATAAAAGTGTCTTGAATGATTTAAAATTGGCTTTAATAAAAACTTAGGTTAGTTTACTTTTTTTTAATCTTATTCTATACGATATTTTATTTCCTCAATAATGCCTTTTAATGCCATTTAGCATAATTATATTTGAAATTGGGTAGTCTTCGGTCCAACTATTTCGTTCTCGTTGCCGTTCCTGTCCCTTATCGTTTAATTATTATTCCAATTCGTTTTTTTTTTTTTAAATTTAATTTTTTTTTTATAACCGTCGTTGAACAGCCGACCCAATTTCGGGTTTACGACTACTAATGTTCAACTCCGCAGCCTTGTAATTTTTGAGCTAATCCAGAAGACAAGGAAACTCCTGGATCAGTACCCCCAGAAGTATTGATTTGTTATGGGAACATGGAGGACTTGGTGACTCGACAAATTTAGCGTGCATCAGTCACCAGTTACTTCATGGGGAGTCTTTGGCCGGCGGGGATCGAACCCACGAACTCTTGGACATGGGACTTGGACATTAGAATCATTTAGCATGATGCACTTGAGAGCAAAACTGTCCACAATCGACCAAATTTCTCCGGTACTTATTCCTTTTGGTACACATTAAAAAAGCCTTTATTACCACAGTGCCTGCAGTAGTACATATAAAGTATATTTGGTACCCATTAAAGAAAGTACCCATTACCGTAATACCAGTCGTACTAATTAGAAAAATTAATCATACATCATTAGCGACAATAATATTTTGGCAGTTCTTTTTACAGTTGCGCTCAAGTAATCAGTACTTTTTCTTCATTAACTTCACTCTTTTATACTTCAGTATGAATAACTTTCTCTTTACTTCAATTACCGTTAATTTTAATGTATTTAATTTTATAAAAACACATTTGGAAATCACAACTATAAGCATAATAAACACGTGATTTCAGATAACTTTAGGAATACTAATTCGGCGACGTAGTCACGCTATTTGCATTGATTATTATTGAGCTTGTAAAGAATATTTAGTCATTCAAAAAGGTGCAATAAACTCCCATACAGAATCGCTTACAGTTGAAGTTACAACAATGGCTGATGCTAAACCAATACCAAAAATTCATTTTTCAAATATCTCTCTTGAATCAACAAATTGAAATTTGTAAGTGATTTTTAGAATCGGGGGCTAAAATTGCCCCCGATTTTAAAAATCGCTTGCAGTCAATATCCGAATTTCAGTACCCTAGCTCATAAGATTCTGGAATTATAAGAAATTCTGATCAGCGTTTCAATACTAGGACAGACAAAAATATCGATTAAACACAAAAGCTGGGAAAAAAGAATACCCCGAAACGGCAAGTAAACAAAACGTTAACGGGACCCTTCTTCGTAATGCAAAATACAAAAATAACTATCAAATAATGAAAAGTTAATAATTTATCGCAAATTATTCTCAACAAATGTAATTTTAGACCAAATATCAACAGCTGCAGTAGCAAGTAATTTATTTTTCAGTTTAATCATTATTTATAATCAGCTTTCATCTATAATTAAGTTGCAGTCAATTATCTTAGAATAGTTCTTATCGATTACAGACGTTACTTTTAACACTATTTATAGATAATACTTTTGAAATATTATAGAAATGCTTTAGGGAATATAAGTCCCTCTTGCAAGTGAGAAAAAAGCATCTATCAAAATTGCTATATTTATATAGTAAACACAATTCTGGTAATAAAAAGAAAAAAACCATAATAATTTTGATAATTAAACCAAAATTTATGGTGTTTAAACCATTCGTTAGGCAGTTTTTTCTGTTCTTTATGGTAACCTTTTACCGAAAATTCTGGTTTTCTAAATTATAGTTCTTAATGCCAAGTATTTAGTAAATATACAAAATTGAAAAGTAAATTTAACCGAATAAATGGTTTTCATTTCGTTTACACATGTTTAGCGCCATGCTTTAAACTAAAGTGTCACTATAAGATTACAAAAAAAAAGAAGGAAAAAAATGTTCTTCAGATCTATCGCTCATTTTACCATTTATTTGGCAATTTTTTTGTAAATATACAAAATTGAAAAGTAAATTTAACCGAATAAATGGTTTTCATTTCGTTTACACATGTTTAGCGCCATGCTTTAAACTAAAGTATCACTATAAGATTACAAAAAAAGAAGGGAAAAAAATGTTCTTCAGATCTATCGCTCATTTTACCATTTATTTGGCAATTTTAATAGTTTGAAGTGTATGTCTTTTACCAAATAAAAAATTATTATCTGTTTATACTTTATTTGAAATGGTGGTTTACTTATTTAATGGTGGTTGATAGAAGTTAGGTTGTGGTCAATTATGTATTTTCTTAATCTATTTCTTAATTATAACATAAGGAAAATAAGCCTAAATAATGTTCCTAAGATTTTTTGAAAATACTAAACTCATGTAGATGATGCTATCGCGTCTGCTTTATGCATCTTTCATGGAATGGATTTATTTGTTTATTCATATACATATGAGGGTTTCTTTGCAAATTTTTTGAATGTCTTAAAAAGTCCTTTCAATTTGAAAAAAACGGATAGCACAAGCTTGAGAAAATACTACGTGAATATACAGATTGTGTAATAGCGGGATTCAACCCCACTACATCCACTCTTTAGTGTAGTTAGCGGAACGGCGATACCACACGGCGAGATAGACCCCTAAGATTTATTGAAAGTAAATAAGCCAAACTTGGAAATCATCACACAAGCCTGAATTTGTATATCAAATTTTACAGCATATACTGCCAAAAAGCATGATAAAAAAGTATATATTTTTGTCAAATATACCAAACGTTTCCGTACTTTTTGGCGTTCCCATTAATTAAGAAAACATGATAAATTTTTCCATATTCTGGTAGTTTTGATTATATTTTTTCTCAGTCTGAAAATTATGAAAATTATTGAAAGACTTCGCTACCTTTTAAACCCTATGGTCTTTTGAATCCTTCAAAGAATCGTAAAACAACGTGTTTAACTATGTTCGTATTCAATGCAGACTAATTTTCATAAAATTATGAACTATGGTCATTTTTCATAGTTAAAATTTATGCTATTTTATATGTTGTAAAGCAAAATATCTTGTGTATCAAATCTTTCAATGCTTAACGTATAAGTTTTGTAAAATTATTTACCACGATATACAAATTTCCATAACAGGTCTTGATCTCCATTTATTGCTTCTACAATTTGGGCTGAAATATTCATTAAAAATTTGAGCAAAATCGGATTTCTGACATATTCTCTAAACCTTGATATTGTTTTTATATTTATTTATTTATCTTTTTTTATTGCGAAACAAATTTGTAAACAACATCCGATAAATAAAAACAACGATTTATCTTTACATACATCTTTCCTACGATTTATCTTTAAATAGAATTCAGATCTAAATAAATGTCCCTGTAATGAAAAATTTTCGAAAGTCATGATGAGTGACAGATACAATCAAAGGTATCAAGAATTTATAATAGCGCCTACAAATATAACGTTCTTCAATATATCGGTTGTTAGTTATCACTGTCACATTAACTTTTTTTTAAAAAAAATCATCAAAAATATAACTGCCAAAATAGCATTTAAAAAAAATAGTTTAGTAGAGTAGATTGTAAAAAAACTTTTCCTTGAAAATTCAAAAATTTAAGCTATCTTTATAGATTTGCTATCCAAGATTCAGCAAACTTAACATGTTTTAAAAATATATATTAGTTCTAATAGAAAAATTGACTAAAGTTTATGAGTTTTTTTAAAGATAAATTTTGCGTTAATCTTTTAAACAAAATACTTTATATTTAAAAATTGAAAATTTTCTTAAGAGCAATTTGCTTTGACAAAAGTTTAAAAGAATAATAATACTAATATAATGCTAAGTTAGGTTTCCCGCAAAGATCCTTAATTGAGGCATTTTAATTTTAGCAAATTTTTGTAATCCAATGAATTCTTTCTACAACTACTAAGTTTAAGACTGCATGATCATAGTCTTATTTCTTTCAATGGTTCTTAAGTTGATCCTCAAATAATTTTAGAAACAATGTGCTTTAAGTTCTTCTTTATTTTATTTTTGCAATAATTTAAAATCTCTTAAATGACTCACATGAGACACCAATTTTTTTTTTTTTTTTTTTTTTTTTTTTTTTTTTTTTTTTTTTTNAGTTAGTTTGTCGTCGGCCTTCTGAGCCCAAGTCTGCGGGTTCGATCCCCGGTCCAGACACCGGATTTTCGAGATGCAAAAAATCCTCAGCGGCCATGTCGTATGATTATGCGGCATGTAAAAGATCCCCGGAGTGCCTTATTGGCTCTTGGCATTTCCGGCAAAACTAAATTCCTAGTGCACTTTAGCATCCAAATAGAGTCTCGGTGCTGCCATCTAGTGTGGCAGAAACTAGACGTCCAAATTAACATCGCCAACGGTATCTCACCCATTGTGGTGGTTCTGAAAAAGTGGATACCTCCTCTGGAGAACGCACTAGGTCTGCTCATCGGCAAGACCGATTGTGCAGTTCATTGAAAATAAAAATAAAAATGTTTGAATTGTTTACATAAATGAAAGATAAATACATTACATATACGGAAGGGTATGAGAAATTATATGGAAGGGTGAAAATATTACGGAAGGGTATGAGAAATTGACTTAATATAAAACGAATATTGCTATTTAATTATAACGTATTGCAAAAATTTTAATGTTATTGAAATGATAAATATCTAAATTTTCTTTTAGAAGGTTCGAAATTGAAAATCGGATCTGAAATAAGATTATATATAAGGTTCTATTTTCTATTTTATGTAATTTCACGTTTTGCTTTTCAGTAATTGAACTGTGACTCGTTTTGTTATATTTTTCATTGACAACAATCGATTGTCTGTAAAATTTCTCATTGCATTAAATAAATCATACTACGTTATAATTAAATATTAATAACTTGCTTCCCTTCTTTTAACGTGGCTTTATTTAGTATACTTTTTTATTTTAAAAGCCTCTATTTTATTAAAAAGAGAAAATGACCAACAAGCTAATATTTATTGCACAGTTTACTTCCATGACAGTAAAAACTTATATTTATGCGAGTAATTTTTTTAAAATCGCATTTATAATGCAACTAATTAAATTACGTGTTTTAAATATAACTTTTTATCTCTCCGTAAATCGCATCTGTCATGCGGAGAAATACTTTCTATTTATAATTTACCTCAATATAGTAGTTCACGCAATCACTTGATCTCTGGTAAAATTGATTGTTATTTCTCTAAGAAACATGAATAATATTTCTCTAAAAGCATAAAAAGGAATATTGTTAATATTATAAACTGTTTATGGATAGTTTTTTGAAAGCTACATGTTTATAATCGCAACCGAGTTTCGAACTGTTTTTTTTTTCTTTTTTGTCATCGCGTTAATTAAAAAAAAGAGAAAAAAACCTCACTGAAATTTGATGTTAGCTTTTTTAATTTCATTTCGTTGCACTTAGCAGAATTTATCATTAATTTTTCCGCTATAGATTTATATTAAACAAATTCTATTAAATCTACACTTTCATTTATTAATAAAAATTTATCAAGCATAATTATTGTTATTTTATGAAAACAAGATTCATTTTAATTTTTCTTTAAACGCGAGTATAAAATATCCTTTGACACAAAAAACTGTTTAAGTTTCTGGTTATCATATGAGATATGATTATTGATTTTAATTAACTACCAATAAATTTGATCATTAGTACAGTGTGTCCGTAAATTCATCTAACACTTTTGACCGGTTCACTGGTCAAAAGTGAACCTTGATCACCAATTATCATTAAAACACTACGAACAATGTAGGAAAAAATACACCTAAAAATTAAGCAATGTTTGTGTGATATTTAGTTTTGAAGACAATATTTACTGCTACAATATAAACTGCTTAACTTCAATAATTATCGTAACAACAGTTATATTGTGAGCAAATGATATGAATTTCTGCATATTAATATATCTATCTGTAAGAAACTAACCATAATGAACAGAAAATCAAAAGATATCAATTTTTATTATTTTTTACTTTGAGTTCGCATTATCTAAAAACAAAATCTTAGCACTACAAAAAAAAATGGTTCGTATCGTTTTGATTACTTTTAAAAAAAAAATATTTTAATGATGACAAATGGTATCTGCCAGAGTACGAATATACGAAGGTTAGGAACACTGATATAAATCCTTGATATATTTAATTCAGTTAGACATTCTATAAAACAATCAAGGAATTCTCCAAATGTGTAGTCTAGCTGGATATTTATTTAGACTGAGTTCTCCTTCGAGTGTGAAATATTAGCCGGAAATAAATACTGAAGTAATAACGTCAGCGTTGTTTTTATTTATCAAGAGTTGTTTACTTTTTCTACCAACAGAAAAAAAAATTATGTAAAAAAGGAAGAAATGAAAACAAGTACCAAGGTTTGTAAAGTGTTATATTATCTCGTTCGGTTCAACGGTTCAAGTTCGTCTAATTTTTTTATTGAATACTTTGGCCCACATTTGATGAGAAATAAACGGAGTTTTATCTGAGACCTTCAAAAAAATTTAGGACCGTGAATTTCTTTCCTGTTTTTGTAGTAAATAATTAAAAAAAAAGAATCTATTTACCATTGAAAGAGGCATATTTTCTTTCTAATATACGTTTTTTTCTAATACACACTATTGCACACAATCTAATTTGTGATTTAAACCAACTTACAATCTACCGGTCTACTTGCAATTCTAGAATTTTTAGACATATTTTATTTCTTTAGATGGTTTTAAAATTTTATTTAGAGTTATAAATTTTTTATAACGATGTAAAAAGGAAAATAAAGGAAATTCGAAACAACCACATACCGTAAATCAAATAGGCAAACACTTTCTCGATAGTTTTATCATGATACATTGGAGCTGGCATTAAAAACATTTATTCGGTTAAATTTACTTTCCTGTCATGTCATTAGAACAGTCCAGTACTCTGGTAAACCGTTTCCATGAGAACGAAACATTACCAAAGAATGGTTTAAATACCGCATATTTTTTTAACCCAAAATTATAGTTTCTTAGATCAGAAACATCATTATTATACAGTACAATAATTTTACCCGAATTTTTTTTCTCCGTGTCATAATTGCATTTTATACTTTTCGTTTTTTTCTATGTCCAAAGAAGGGTGAATAAAAGGACTTACAATATTGTATTTCCAACAAATATTTTGCTATTTTTGTATACTATTTACTTTTGCTTCTCATGAGTAATTAATTGTGTTTTTCTTTTTTCTTTTAGGATACTACATTCCTAAACGTTTCATTTTTGTATTCCTTGGTTTCTTGGCAACTACCTTATCAATATCATTAAACACAAATCTAAGTCTAGCCATTGTAGCAATGGTGGATCGATCGAATGAATCCAGTGTTCAAATTCAGACGTCAAATGAGTGCCTTCCTAAAGAAATCTCTTTTTCCAATATTTCTCTAAACTCAAAAGTGAGACCAGAGTTTTAATATAATAGATATAATATTAAGTCTAAGATCAACTCTTATGTCCAACAAGGTATCCCTTAAAATTCGTTATCTCCATCTTAAGTTCGAACAAAATGAGCATAGTTATGAAACGGGTATATATGTGGGGTAAATTGGCTATGGGCTACAATATTATGGTGCGTTCTGGTTGAAAACTGCAAGAACTAGCCTTTCTATATAAAAAACGGTATGAGATATTCGAAAAAGTCAATTACAAAGTTATAGAGCATGATTGGTTTATTATGAATAGATTCCATGTGATGGGCACTCTACAGCAGAATCACCACCAGCTCCCTATATTAAACCAAAAAAATGGCTAAAAAATAAATAGAGAATAAGAAATGTGCAAAACAAGTGTTTATTATTATAATGTAAAGTATATTACTACATTTCCTGAACTGTTACGAATTCAGTAAATGACATTTTAAGTCAAAACAGTTAGCATAAAACATGACACTTTGCTACTGAAATGCTGAATTATGACTGTTACTTGGAATTAGAAACACCGTCATCACGAGGCAAAAAAAAAATTTAACTGGACGATTGTAAAAAGCAATCACTTGGCTAATTGTAACTGCGAATTCACGTGCATAACACTTTTTATTTTCACATGAACGATATAAGAGTGGGAACCATTAAACTTAGTTCAGGCTGGCTTTTAGAAGCCCAATGAATTTGAATCCAAGCCCATCCAAGCACGAGATATATGGAATTACTTAGAGCCCATATCCACCCAAGCCTAAATATGTGTCGGATAAAGGCCATATTTTGCGGCCTTGCCACCCAAAAAGAAGAAGAAGAAACTAATGCTAAATAAAAGTTATTTGACAGTTAGTTAAGTTGCCCAAAGCAGAACATCGAAAAGACGTAAGAGAACACTGTAATTTTTTATTTCTTATAAATTTTACAGTTTTATTATTGAACCAAACGTTTGTTTAAAGGTTTATAAAAATTGTATCATGAGTTAGAGCCGGATACCTTTTTTCAGTAAACGAGTCAGAGTTTGGAAAGAACCTATCTCATCTCTATTTCACACACGAGGAATGAAAATTTTTCTACAGCCAAAAATGATTTCATTCAAAACCATAACATGGACAATTTTCATTTATTTTAAACAACGTATAAATAATCATTTTACATCGAGCAAATGATTAAGTACGATTAAAATCTAATCACTATTATACTTAATTCTTAATCAAAATTTAACCTGATCAGTTTTCAGTACATTTTATTTATCGGCATTTAATAATGTTAAATAGTTTCAAATGTCAGTTATAGAAGATATAGGGCTGACGTATATTTATAAAACAACGAATTAATTCGCGATGGAACAAACACTAAACAAAATTAATGTAAATCTCACAGTTAAGTGTCAGTTATAAAATTTGGAATTTCTGGTCTGTACTATTTTGTTTTTCAAACCAATATATCACATTGAAAATAATAGGAATGAGACGCTTTTAGACCAAGCCTAGAAGCACTGTCCCGACGTGGGCTCTGGCTCGTTTACTGAGAAAAGGTTTCGGGTTCGGATTAATGTTAATGTGTCACATTCCCTTTTGCATTTTTCTCTTCGCATTTTTTTCAGGTTATTGATTAAAACAAAGGTTTTAATGACTAATTTCCTTGTATAGACATCTAAAGCCAAGTGGCGAGGCTGTAAAATTTGGCCTTAACCCGAAGCATATCTTGTATTAATTAGAGCCTCTTAGTGGACATAGGCTCTAAAGTAATTCTGTGTACCTCGGGCTCAAGTAACATAGGATAAAAACTCTTCTGGCTCGGATCTTTAAAAGCGAGCCTCTCTAAATCACAATAATAAAGATATCAAAATTGTTTAAAAAAATTTTCGTTCACATTTGCGTCATTAGTTATCAAGCTTCAAATACATCATTATACAAAAGAAAAGAAAAAAAAAATATATATATATATATATATATATATATA